TGCCTAAAACTTTTGCACATTACTGTATGCTAGTATCTATTTGTTTTAATAACAGTGATTATGTTATTATTGTGTCACTGCTCTTGCTATTATTCATTAGTTTTAAGATTTTTTTCTCCTCTATGTTTGCTGCCTGGAGTCATGATTGCAAGATGGGTCTCTATACATATTGATGTAATAAATACATAAATTCATGCTAAATGTGTTTCTTAATGATAAGGAAGTCCCTGCTGAATTCCGAGAGTACAGTATGATCAAGAGGATTTCTTTGCCATATTTGCTACTTCTCCTAAGTGTTCATCAAAGCAGCAGTGCCCCACTTCTAGCCTGACTGACTGTAAGGGAGATGAAGCCATTTGCCATATATAGCATGTCAAAGAAACAGGGTATGTATTTAAAAGGACACTGTCCAGCCACCGTGATGCTCTTGGAGTTGAGAAGCAGCAAGACCAGAATGGAATATATACTTCCAGAAATGATCAATGTAGACATCTGTAAGACCAATTTTGTTGTATTTAAGTACAATGACAATAAAGATTATACTTATACTTTTTTTTCTGAACCAAGTTGAAGATTCTAGGTGAGGCCTCTGTGAGAGATCGTAAGTATCAAGGAGCTGTTGGTTTGCACCACACTGAGGGTGGCATTTAAGGCATGTGGAGGGCGGCCATTTGGAAAGGAAATCTGCTTTTGAATATCAGAGCAATGGAAAAATAAATAAAAAAATAAAATAAAAAATTTTCTGAGCCCCATGCCAGCCAAAGGCAATTGCTTTTGACCCTGTATGAACTTACTTGGAAATCATAGTTGAACTTCCACATGAGAGAATAAAGGTAGGACAGAATTGGAAGGAATTTGAGACATTAATTATCCGATTCCATGAAATCCTATGCTTAAAACAGCATCTGAACACCAAGATTCCTGTGTGTCCTGCAGATGGCAGCACACCACATCAAATGGAGCAGAGCTAGACTCAAGTATTGTACTCTTACCTGCCAAAATAAACTCTGAATCTCTTCTTGTTCACACACTTCACCCTTGCCTTGGTAAGGTTGTAAACAACATCAGTTAATGGGAGAGGAGAGGCCAAAACCTAAAACCCAGAGCTGCACTGACTTCTTAAAGACCTGGGTACAACCTGTAAAGGATCTCCAATAGGTACTGCAGCTGAAGGTAAAAATGAATTCTTAAATACACAAGGAACAACCAGTAACTTTTGACCTTATCATTCATAGTAGACTAAACAATTTACAAGCCTCTTTTAAGTCTTCCCAGCTCCAATGTTCTCTGGGATATACAAAAGTTGTATCAAAGAACATAGGTAGAGTCTGCAGTCCCTTCTCTGGTTGACTGGAAGTTGCAAATTACTATCGGTATTATCCATGACAATTTAATAAAGCTAAGCAGCTGATAGATTGTCTCTCCCATTAAAAACCTGAGGTAAGATCTGGAAAAGATCTTTCGGACGATAATCCCTATTGCTCACAAAATCTTGCTGGGAAAAATTGCTTTAAGTTCCATTCCGTTCCATATTCTTAGTAAACCTGTAAAAATGCATCTTTTTCCCAAGTCTTTATGGGTCCTTTTAATATTCATGTTTTAACTGTTTTTATCTTTTTTACTTTGAATTTCCCAGACACTATTTTAAATTGCTAGTTGTTCTGAGTGATCTTTTGGTAAGGTGGCAGATAAATCAATTAATCAATTTGACCATTTAAAAGGGATCTCAATATCATGTTCAATATTATGTAACTGCACTAGCTCAGACACTGGAAAGGGTAGAATATTCAAGACATTTGCCTAACCATTTGAATGGAGATTCTAAGCACATGAAACTCTGTGGGCTAGAAGGATTTGGCTCCTTCTCTCAATGGACACAAGTGTACTCAAAAAGTCATAAAAATACTACAGAGTGCTGTGCTTCCCTGATTGCATGTTCTTTCATTCCAGAACTGAAAAGATAAAGTGTTTCTGTATATATTTATTAGAAGATAATGAAAAGGTTTGAGGCTTCTAGCAGCAACCATGTAAAATTAAGAACAAGCTGCAATAATCAGGCTTGATATATACTGGATTCATAAAAATTCCTACCAGATCCCTAAAAACTGAACATATGGACATAGCAGTAGCTTGTTATACTACCCACTGCATCATCAGCAGGCTTCAAAAATATGAAGTCGCTTCTCAGTGAATAAGCATTGCAAAATTATTCTGAATGTAACATCTCCCCTTCGTTTACGAAACTACTTTTAGAACTATCATGATGCACCCACAGAAGACAAAAGAATATTTCTTCAAACTTCAGATTTAAGTGGAGAACAAAGAACAAGTGGCACTAAAGCTAGCATTACATGAAATAGGCTAGTTCAATTGCATCTACTTCTGTAAAGACAGTGGGCACTCTACTAGATTGAAAATGATTTCAGCTTTCATTTTAGAGCATTTCTACATGTTCTATTTTTAAATTTTGCTTTGAATTGAATATGCGCAGCCCCCCAAAAATTGACATTTCACATTGCGTTAGATCTAAGTTGTACTTTAGCATGCATTTGTTAGCTATGAATCTCTTACATATGTATCTTCATGTTTTCCTTCAATTTAGCACTTGTATTACTGAACACTGGGTTTTGTGAACTCAGTAGCTTACGGTTGGGAAAATGAAACATATTATTCAAGAGTATTACTCTTTTTGTTCTTTTGGAAAGTTACCAATTACAGTCACTTTAATGTTAATTAAAATATAATGGCCATCTTCTCTTCAAAATGATTAATATTTAATTTTTCAGAAGCCCTATGGTTTTGCTCCCTCTTATTTCACATTGTGTTGCCATAATCAATTTTCTCATGAGTCAGAATATTTCAGAAATCAAAATCACAACCTACTTCATCTTGTCCCACAACCTCAATTTACATGAGTTTAATTAGCCACTAATTTAATTTAAGCTGCTCCCCCTTCCCTTACATTTATATGAAGTGAGAAACAAAAACAAGGCAGAAGTATGGAGAGGAAATATTTGTAGTACTAAAGACCTAATAGTGAATTTGAATAAAGATATTTTAAATATCTGATTAAAAAGCCAAGGAGCACTTGCCTTATAAAACTGTCATTATCAGACCATTAGCTAGATTACAAACCAAACCCTATCTCATGCCTGGCCATTGCAGCTCTGGTATCCATTTAAAATAGGATCTTGCACTTGGTTTTGAGGATAATAAAATGTTAGGAAGGAAATACCAGGAAAAATAAAATCATCATCAGAAACTTTGGTTGCTGTAAGAGATTGAGGTCTCCAATAACTATGGGACATCTAACATCTAAAATCAAGCTTCTTAAAAAGTCATGAACTAACATAAGAATTTGTTCAAAAGATAGTTTAATAAGAGGCAGAATCTTCCCATGAATTCAGGGTGGTATAACAGGAGAGCGTTCCTTTTTCATCTTTATTTAAAACCATCAATAAAAAATTCCCACCAGTTTAAAACCAAATAGATTTCTGTGCTTAATAAGGACATATTTATACTGTTTCACAAAAGATAAATGCCATGCCTGACTTGTTTATGCTATTTTAATTCTAATAAGTCATCACTCTTGCTCTGGAATATATGACCTGAACTTCGTGACCCTGACAATTTGCTTAAAGCAGATCAAAATTCCAAATATTGTTTTAATGCTGCAGTATTTGAATAGATCTATATTTTTACTGGATGGCTTTGATTGTTGTAAAACAGGTAACAAACATGCAGCATAAATCTCCATTTGCTTGAGTTTAGAAATCACATTTTTGGACTTATAGTTCAGTCAATGCTGTTTACCCTTAAAAAATAAAGATTTAAAATCAAAATAGTTTGAACTTTGAACCTAAGGCCAACCAATGAAAATCACAGCAATGGATTAAACATGACTTTTCTAAACCAGTCATCATTTATGATTTATGAGACTATCTCAAAATATTGCTTTTTACCTCAGAATATTCTGATTTCTTAACCAGGCTGAAATAAGAACAAGATGTTTCCATGTTGAGATTTACATATCTCTGCACTCATGAGAGATATGTAAAAAGGTAGCTAAATTGTAAACTGCTATATATATAAATAAAGGGATTGGTTTGCTGAACAGCGAAGACCCTTCCTGGACTTCCAATCTTTGTCCCTGAATATGAATTGAAAGCTACTTAAAATATGCTTTGATGGATGGAAAAAATTTTAAGGGAAATTAAGGATAATTCCCTTTTCTCAATAGTAAATGAAGACAAAATGCTACATAATCTTGCCTATATTTTTGTAAGTCATGCAGTGAAACCTTCTGAGAGAACATGAGTTATTTTTGGTTAATCTGTCTAGAAGATTATATCAGATCTCTTCTGGCAATCACTGAGATGACTTAGAATCACCATCCCACCATTAAGTTAAGGCACTTAATTAGTTGTGCCAACATATATTGCTTGTGAAGCTGGGATAATATTTCTGAACTTTCAGCATTCTATTATAACTGTTCACCATTGCTATGACTGTGCTTTTGATATAATTAGTGAATTAGATACTCTTAAGATTCATATTTACCCATGTTTTGGGACTAGTTTGACTATAGCAAAGAAGAATCTTTTTCTTTCTCTTCCTTTAAAGCAGGAATATGAGAACAATACACCATAAAGCAATGAACAATATTTCCATGATCATGAAGACTCTCATAATAATACAAGATGCTCTAATACCATTAAGTGAGTAACAGTGTTAATAAGAAAATCACACTAATGGGATAATAAATAACAATATTAATGAGATAACAAACAGTTGATTTATACCTTGTCTGGTATTAAATACTTCTAAAAATTCAGTGAAAAGAGAACACTTGATTTCAATATCGTCAAACTGAGAAATGCTTTATATAAGGGGTTGAGGTATGAAGAGCTCTTTGAGCAAATGGGCTATGAACTAAATAATGGCTGCATGTATACTTTTTTGAGGTTTGATGTAATAACAATATTAATGAGAAAAGATACAAAAATGCATCAATAATTTATTGAAGGCAAGTCTTCCCACTATTTTAATCATTACATGCAAGATCCAGATACCCTATTTTAGGCATTTCTTATAATGATCAAAGCTGCCAAAGAATACTAGTCAAAAGGATAATTTGCTAAACCAAAAAGACAGATAATAGCAAATTTAAAAAGACAAAGAACTGTTCAAGTTGAAGAGGCCAGAATGAATCAGAATGGTTAGAAGAGCAGCAAGATAAGGAACACTAGGAAATGCAAAATAATGACCAGCTTATAGAATGACAGTTCCAATACAATGTCTCCAATTTAAGTGTGAAAGGGTACAGAATATTGGAGCAGATACAAGAATCAATAAATCCCCAAAGAAACAAAACAAACCAATCCAAAAAACTATAGATTAAGTAAGCTTAGTAAAATTTGGTCTGGTTTAGGCTTATCTGCATTGTGGGTAGCATTTTTCTCAAACCTACCTCTTGCCTTCCTACCGCAACAGTAGGTTTGGATTGTTGGCCTATGCAGGTAAGTATGATTTAGGCCTTTTCAAACAAAATACAAGTTGAAATAAAATAGCATTAAGAATGGGTGGCTTCATGAACTTTTCTGAAGAAAATTAATGTTCTTATATTTTAGAAAATTCAAGATCTGTTCTGTGGAAAAGGGAAAACATCCTTCCCTTTTGCTACCATATATGCAACTCAGTGTTAATTCAAACAATGTGCAATAGATATTAAGATCTAATTTTCTATTCTGAAGCTCTGAAGATATGCAGGAATTAATCAAGCAAATTCAAAGCAGAGAAGATACTTCTGAAGTGGAGGAAATTCAAGAGATGAAATTTTGGCGTCCTAGGAACACATACCAGAAGAAAAAAATGAAACTGTGTGGAAGTAGATAGTTTCATTTCCAAGCCAAAAGCTAATGTCTAATAAAATGCTCAAGAATCGCTGCATTGGAAAAGAGACTCAATCATCCCAGCAAAGGCCTTAGTGGTAAAATACTGCAGAGTGTATGATTGCTAACTTAGTGTTCTAAAAATCAGAGTTCATTTCACTAGGTTAACCATTCTATATCACTGAATAAAAATGTGTATGACACAAGATAGGGTTGCAGAGTTCTCCATATCTTCTAACTAAAATATCCCATCTTGTGCCATGCACAAAAACAGAGTACAAATCCCATTTAACTCTACATTTTAGCACACACTGTAGTAACCATTATATATAGAATTTCTATGCTTCTCTTTCAAGCTGCTAGTCAGGATTACAACATATTCTATGTAACAAAAAAGAGGTAGCACATTCAATTTTTTACCTCAACTTTGGAACCAGATAGCATCGCATTATGTTATTGTTGATGGAAATGAATCATTGGAAACCATTTCACAAAAAGAAAAACTTGCTGCTACCATGATGTTAAAATTGTTCCAAAGATGGCAAGGAAAAAATATTTTAGTGTGATGTGAGGATATGCATGTAGAGTAAATCTCAGTGCACTTTAAAGTCATCCCCCAATTGCCTCTCATGATACACAAGATATAACAAGAGCAAAAAGCCACAATTAGCATAATTCAAATAGTTTAACAATATATTCCAAAGCCTATCTGCACCCTGATCCAGTCTCCATGCAGGATTTGTGAAGCTCAGCTCAAAATATTCAGCCCTGTTATGTTTTTAAAAATACACTATGAATGTTATGGCACTTGCTCATATACATATTGTTTTCCCTTCTCTTTGAGGAAACTGATGGCAGAATGAGAAAAAATAAATTTAATCATCCATGGTAATATTGCGGAAGAGGTAAGCCATAGACTCCCCATTGTGGATTCGACGGATAGCTTCAGAAAGGATCAAGCTGATATCCACAGTCTTTATCTTGGGACACTGCAGTTTTTGTACTTCGTGAGGAACTGTATTGGTGACTACAACCTATCAAAATATAGTAAAAGAAAAAAGCATCAGAAAACATGGTTGAAATATCTATTTAGAATCCATCCATGAAAAAATATTGTCTAAGAAAAAAATCAGCTCTTTAAAATTATCATTGGGAAACAGATTATTTATGTACTGTATTTTTCAGAGCATAAGATGCTCCGAAGTATAAGATACACCTAGCTTTTGGGGAGGAAAACAAGGGGGAAAAAAATCTGCCTCTGCCTCCAAGCAATTTGCCTCTTTGCAACAAACAGCAAACACAATATACACTGTTTGTAGTGTTACATTTCAGACTATACATGTACAGATGCTGTTAAAATTGATGTGGCTTTCTGGAAGTATGGTTATTCTCTGCTATTTAAAAGAAGATACAATAGCACTGGGCCTCTTCAGATCAAGCATTTATTTTAAAAAGCTTCTTCATTTTGCTAAGTTGTTTAGAACAATAATAAAGCAGTCTTTAAAAAATAAATCTGATAATTTGAACGTTCTATAGGCATTTATAGTTATTGACTTACCTCCTTGCAAGCAAAAAGCAAACAGCCTGATTAGCACAAGAAAAAAAATATCTGCCTCTGCCTCCCAGCAATTTGCCTCCTGCAGCAAACAGTAAGTTTCACTTTCAATGTCAGCTTGGGCCTCCTGATCATCAGCTGTTTCAGGCTGCAGGGATTGCCATAGCCTATTGCTGCCTCTGCAAGTCCCATTTTCCCCGTTTGCTGCAAGGAGGTAAATTGCTGGGAGGCAGAGGCCAAAGGGTGGGGCCTGGTGGGTAGGTGGGGCTACATTCAGTGTATAAGATGCACCCAAATTTTCACTCTCTTTTAGGGGGGAAGGTGCGTCTTATACTCCGAAAAAATACTGTGTGTAAGATTTCATCAGACAAGAAGGAATTATAGCTAGATTTGAGATTAAAGTATTGGTGATGTCCCTTGCCACAGTTTGAAATGCAGTTAACAGAATTACAGTATGTCCTAGAAAATTAAAAATGAATTTGTTTTGGATATAGTAAGAGAAAGTTAATCTATCCGTTGCATCACCAGTTGTTACTGGTGCAAACAGAAGGGTAAAATACAGGTAGTCCTCGACTTATAACAGTTCACTTAGTGACCGTTCATAGTTTAACATCACTAAAAAAGGGGGTTATGACCATGTTCACATCTATGACCATTGCAGCATCCTCATGGTCATGTGATTTACATTTGGATACTTGACAACTGACTTATATTTAATACAATTGTAGTGTCTCGAGGTCATGTGATCACCTTTTGTAACCTTCTGACAAACAAAGTCAATTCACTTAACTGTGTTACTAATTTAACAGCTGCAGTGATTCACTTAACAAATGTGGCAAGAAAAGTCATAAAATGGGGTAAAACTCACTTAACAACAGAAATGTTGGGCTCAATTGTGATCATAAGTTGAGGACTATCTGTATAGGGTCTATAAGTCAAGAATTTGATATGGCATCCTCCTCATAGACATGATAGTCCTTAAATCACCATGCACTGAAATAAAGAGTAAAATAGATCTGGAAGGATTTGGTGCATATTTATATATGATGTGGTTTATGAAATGACTTAAAAAAAACCCTTCAATATGTATTTCCTTGAAAAGGGAACAAATTTCTCTGACCCAAGAGTGGTAATTATAGGCCCCACTGCTTGACTGGTGGCACCTTAGTATAGCGGCATGGTACTCTTTATTTTCACAGGGCTAACATTGTCTTTCAACTCTATAATTGTCTACAACATCTGACATGTAGCTTTGTGTGTAGATTAAGTTGGTAGACACAATGCACCACTATACACCCTCTGTATTGCTCTGTTATATTTCCTTCTTGAAGAAATGCTGCCACTGGCAACTGCTTCCTCTCCTCCTACACCATTAATTCAGAAAAACAACTAGGAAGCACAACTTTTCTTTAGATGAGGAAAATTATACACAGATCAGAAAGAACAGATTATTTGGACAGGAAGACATCAAAACAGAGCCCTTTGTTTCCATAGTCTGGAAACATTCAGCACTGAAGTATGGCTATTATGGAGAACAAACCGTGTTGAAAAGGAGAAAAGCAAGGACCTTAAGGCACAAAAAAGACACATCTTTTAAAAGAAAAAATAAACCTCAGGAGGTCTCCTGTCTGAACATTTTGTTTTCAACTATTACTTTTTCTGAAATGACAGACTAATGACACTTAGTTTCCAAATTCAACTTATCCTTTTATCCCAAGAAAGCCTGCTCTCTGCCACAGGTTATTTACTATAAAAAGGGCAGAATGAAGTGAATGCAAGTAGAAACTGCTAGAATTTCTCTTTGGGCTCTGTATACACACAGTAGCAGTGTCCTCTATGCATTGATATCTGCTAATAACTATGGGATATTTAAAAACCAGAATTCTTTAGATAAGAGGCTCAAAACAAAGCTGAAAACAACACTTTCCCTAGAACTGCTAGCAAGATAAAGTAGCTACGTGTACATACACCTACAGGCAGAGACAATTGGGAATAGTTGAACTGAACTTGAAGTAGTTGGATGAAAAGGCTTTATCTCTTTCAAATGCTTTGCATGGACTTACTGTGTGTTATATATACATATATTCATGCACATAGTCAATTAGATCCCCCCCCCCCGGCAATAAAATATGTCCTTTTATTTTAGGGAAGGATTTTTGGTTCTAGTTCTGCTTTGTGTTCTTTGTTTTGGGTAAAAAAGACATTCAAATTATTAGTCCATTGCCTACAGAAACTTGCCTCATCAATTGAGGACTCTTCAATTAGACGTGGGGCATCAGCAGACAAGAGACCATGAGTGGCCATGATAAAGATCTTGTAAGCACCACGCTCTTTCAGGATTTCTGCAGCTGCCACAAAACTTTCAACATCATCAATTATGTCATCCTGAGAAGAAAAGTATATCCCAGTTAAATTCTGGGAAAAGGATAAAAAAGCTATGCTCTTGCCTCAAATGCTTTAGCACTAATGTAAATTCAAAGAGATCTGAAGAATTAAAAGTATTTGCCTAATGTTAATCCGTCCATTTTTTTCATCCACAAACATTTTAACAAGTATTTTCTAGCAGCACAATATAGATTGCATTTTAAGATATAATATCTTTTCCCCAAAAATATCTGAAAGTCTGTTTAAAAAACAAACAGATAATCTTCAAAAAATTAAATTTAATTTTGACTGCATTGTTAGTGATCTCTATCACAAAATACACTACCCTGATTCACAAGATTCACAAAATAGCTGCCTTGATTTAGAAATACACTATGTTCTAGAGACCACCTGGAATTTCTGTAATATCTTTGGAAAAGGTCACGTTTATGGTGCCTTCATACTGTGAGAAATTTTTACACAGGTTCTGTCAACTGACATATCTAGTGTCAGGAAGCCAGATTTAGCTACAATACCACTGAATTTAATAACATAATGAAACAATATACCAAGTTTGTATAATTAAAATAGATATTAGACACTATCCTGCTGAAACATGCTACAGTAATATAGAATATTATATAATCTTAGTAAGACATAAGGTCAAATCTATCAGTCATTCCCACAGAATAGGAAAATTATATACTGATAACCCTTCAGAATTGTGTTTTGTTTGCACATTTATCAAAACATACAGATTTCAGAAACCAATACTATGTCCTATTACAAACAGGATCATGTGGATGATGTAGAACATCTGTCTTTAATTAAGCACAGCAAAAGTGGAAAGGGATATTGCATGACTGCTTAAAAAGTGTCAGCATAATCAATATTGGCTTTGAGCCCAGAACTAAAATCCAAGCTATATTCAGATATAAATAATTAAGCAGAGTTCAAACTGAAGATATTCACATTCGCTCTCTCGCCTTTTAATTCCTTACCACAATTATGGCAATTCTACCTCCAACATCTCCAACTACTGTTATGGGTGGTTTCTCTTTGGCCATCATCACTATAGGAGGGAAACAAACCCAGAACCATAGATTTAGTGTACAGTATGGATACATGTTCTTGCTTTGTAAATTAATGCATAGCATAGTGTTTTACTGTAGTCTTCATTCTGCATGACTAAAGAGATATCTTTAATTATTTCCTTATTGGCTACCATTGGAATATAACCAATTAAAGATATCTCTTTAATTGGACTGTAACCAATACAGAACCAATTACTGTATATGTGAATTAATATGCATACATATGTAGATAATATATTACAAGCTCCCTACATGAGATAAATATCTTTCTATTTCAAACCCAAATGACCTGAGCATTAGTTTGCCTATCTGCCGTTTTAAAAAATTACAACCAAAGGCTGAAATGAAACAGTTGGAATCAACCAGACTTGGGATCACTGCTAAATGTTAAAAAAATCAGACAAAATAATCCAGACATATAGTGAAGTAGCTGATATTGTACCATTCCAAATCTGATTTCATTCAATATTATTATTACTGTAGGAGGCAGTTATGCAGGCAGATTAATTCTGCGTCAGTGGATACTTAGAAGGTCCACCATGCCCATTTGTGGTGATAACCTTCAATATAGATTTTAATTACAAATGAACCCAAATGCAAACTAGCTTCCATTAAATTAGCATTTCTGTTTACAATAAACAGATGGCTACCTACTACCTAAAAACAATAATTTGCTAAACAGAAATTTACTAATGTTTTACTGTCAAATGCTGCTTCATTCATAATCTTCCAACACCAATAGAAGCAAATAATTTTCTGTTAAATTTCAGCTGATTATACTGCAATTCAAATCATAATGCTAGCAGTAGTAATTATACACATTACTTTACCTATTGTAACATGTACTGTAAAAATGGGATACAACTTAAAAGTGCAAACCTACTCAATGTTTAGAAATATTATGTTTTATTTTTACATGCTCACTGATTTTATAAAGGATTCCACTGTAGATATTTTTCCAGGCATAAACCAAAAAGAAGCAATAAATGTTATTAGAATCTTACTTCTCAATATGCTATTTCTATACTTGGATAGGTTTAATCATACAAGCCCTCACTTTCAACATGAAGAAATGCAGCGTAAATACAGATAAATTCTATACTTGACAACTTGACTGTTTAGCCAAATATAACAGATTTCAGGTTGTCCCCTGATGTATAATTCTAAAGAGAAAAATACAATTTGACAATGTGAATTGAGTTTGACAAGCTACTGTGTACAAAAATAGAAAAATGTAACAACATACAGGGTAGCTCCAGGCCAGTGCATAATGTAGTATTTTTTACTGTTGGAGGAGAGTGCCGTCCATCATCCATGTCTTGCTCTGTGCACTGAGCCTCTCCATGGATAACTGCCAGGCCTAACCGCAGTCGCTCAGCATAAGACTGGGCCCTGTGTAAGTAGGAACCAAGTATTAATCAAGGCAAGACTTTCTCTCTGAGAAGCTTTAAAGATATATTCACTTTTTCAAACAAGATGAAGCTACACGCTGTTTCATCAATTATTAATGAAAAGAAAAATTATGCTTCCTTTCAGCAAAATAGTATAGATGCTTTTGGCCCTTTGATCCTCCCCTCCCCCATAAGCATATTTTTTTCTATTAAGTATATATTATTTGACAAATGCTTTTTAAGCACAAGGCCTTCCAAAGTCACAATCATCCACCAAAGCTCTTTTAAGCATTCATGGATGCACGAAAAGTGTTTTCATTTGTGAAAAATGGGGAGGGGGGGAGCTATTACTTAGCCTACTGACTTATGCATAAAAGATAATCTAAGCTTTTAATTTGGTGACCTTAATTAAAAATTTCTACCCTGAAGAGATTCAGTGCATATATCCATTTAATTCCACGTATTAGAGATCCATTTTGAGGGGCATTATGGTATTTTTCAGAGTATAAGATGCACCTTTTTCCCTCAAAAAAGAGGCTGAAAATCTGGGTGCATCTTATACACTGAATATAGCATTTTTTGCCTCCTGAAACCCCGCCCCTTCACCAAAATGGCCTTGCATAGCCTTTAGGAGGCTTTCAGAATGCTCCTGGGGGCTAGGGAGGGCAGAAATTTTGCCCCTCCCCCCCAGCCTCCAGGTGCACTCTATAAACCTCCTAAAGGCTATGCATGCCCTTTTTTGAAGAAAAACGGGCCATTTTTGAGAGGTCTGCGGAGTGCAAAAACTTTTTAAAAAAATTTGCCTCTTCAAAATCTTGGTGCGTCATATACTCCGGTGGGTCTTATACTCCGAAAAATATGGTATTTGGAGAATGATGCCCTAAAAGTTGGAAGTCACCAATAGTTATTGGCATACAAGATCCAATTTCTATGGTTGTGCATAAACTCAAATCTAAAGAGAAAATATAATTTGACAATGTGAGTGGATAAGCACATGGTGAGTCTCAGGAATTCTGTACTAGCATCTTCTTCAGAGATTGTACAAAATGTTCTGAACCATTTGGTCACTGAATTTTGATCTCTGTACAATTCTACTAGGTAGATTTTTGCAGATAGGAATTTTTGTAATATAGGTATTCTCTGCTTAACTATCTGTCATTTAGTGGCCATTTGAAGTTATGACAGATCCCCACAACCCAGTCCCGGAGTTCCAATGGCTGCACATGTCTCTGTGGACATGTGATCGCATTTGGGGCGCTTGGCAACACTCACATTTATGACTGTTTGCAGGGTCCCATGTCACATGACCACAATTTTCAATGGTTTCTGGCAGTTACTTCCAGTTTCAACAAAAAATGCTCTTTGGGTAATATGGATGCATTTATCAACCAATGCATTTGATTAACAACTGTTGCAAAATAGGTCATAAAATTGGATATGGCTACATGGTGACCTACTTAATGACCATCATGACTTGCAATCATAATCCTGGGCTCAATTACACTTATAAGTCAAGGACTATCCTATTCATATCTAAATAAATACCTCTTAGCAGCATCAGGACTCTTTGCTACTATAACTGCATTCCTATAATCAGGAATCTAAAAAAAATGGAGAAAAGGTTTTGATTTTGAAGCAGTTTGGTTCTGAAAGTAATTCTTTTTACAAGTAATTATTTGTTATTATGTGACTGGGGGAAAATCATTTAAGGACTACCATACTTGGTAACTTTTAAATAAATGGTGAATCCATTACTATAAAGTAATTACACTTCCTTTTTATTTAATTGTGTGAGGAATTACCCATTATGAGAACATGAGGCTAGCTTGTCTGAGAATGTGAGGCCAGAATGAAGATGCCATCATGTTAATATGAAGCAGGCATGTACACAAAGAGGACAGGAACCAGGAATCTTGTCAAAAAGATTTCTTCATGAGGTAATTAAGACTAAACCAAATTAAGGATCAGAGAAGAAATGATAATGCTCAGTCACCTGAACTCTGAGATGGCGAGCAAATAAATTTAATTCACATATACATACATCTATATATCTATACATATCAGCAGACAGACAAGGGAAATTGGGGGTTTAACATACAGATTCCCCCATCCCACTGAGCGTTACCATACTTTCTTGTAAATCAACAAAACGAGCTTTTGGATTCTGAAGCCTGCCCACTCTTTGAATCATTGTGGACTCAGACATGGCAGTTTCAGTCTATCTAGCTATTGCCTGGCAGCCTAATTGAGAAGGATGCTGGTAATGGGGATGAATGTGCATGTCAGAAACTGCAGGTTTAATCATTAGGTCTCCATTTATTCCACCGGAACTTGACATGCCTCAGTGTTTGGTTGAAAATGATTTCAGTGTGTTCCTAATTATTTCCTGGCTGTTCAATGGAGGTGTGTGTCTCATATGCTCGAGTCACAGCTGTCTGGAAAACCCAGGTATAAAACATGGGTAATTGCAAAATCTGCATGTCTCGATAGGATGCATGTGTGAATGACCATAACTTAAATTTGGTACTCAGCACTCACAAAGTTCTTTTTTTTCATTATCTGTACTGAGAGATAATATAGATATGAAAACATCATCTTCTAATAGAACAAAAGTTCTATTAAGAGATAAAAATCAATTTATACCTCTTCCTGTATATACTGAAGCAAGAAAGGTGATGCTCTCAAGTTATCAACAGGAAAGCTAAAAAAACCCTGTATTTCTTTCTGATGAAGATCCATAGTGATGATGTGGCTTAAACCTAAAAACCAAACATATAAAATATTATATATACAACTTCCAACAATTACAGAGGGATATACAATTATTTAAGCTGGAATTAACTAAGGTGTTTACTATCAGGATAGACTTAAATCACAAAGCAGGAAATCTCATTTTAAAGTTTAAAATCACATTTAGTTATTGAAGAAAGATTCTGTCATTATAATGTGCATTCCTGATGCCTGTTATAACCTGAATACACATTCTTCAGTGTTTCAGGAAAGATTCATACTCTAAAACCCAAACAAAGGATATTTAATCAAAAAAATTTCAGATTAAAAGAAAGTGTTATAATGATTTTAGCACCAAAGAAGTTGATTAACATTGAAGTCATTAAGAAATGAACTAGCTCCAGTTCAATTATTTGTGGTTACAGGTAGTCCTCAACTTACAACCACAAATGAGTCCAAAGCTTATGTTGCTAAGTGAGTTTTGCCCCATTTTATGATCTTTCTTTCCAAATTGTTAAAAGAATCATGGCAGTGTTAAGTTAGTAACAAGGTTGTTAAATGAATCTAGATTCCCGTTTGACTTTTCTTATCAGAAGTTTACAAAATGTGATCACATGACCCCAGGATACTGCAACCATCATAGAAATGAGTCAGTCGACAAGTGTCTAAATTTTGATCACATGACCATGGAATGCGCAATAGTTTTGTAAAAAACAGCCATAAGTCACTTTTTTCAGTTAACTTGAAATGGTCACTAAATGAGCTGTTGTAAGTCGAGGACTCCTTCTATTTGGAGGATATTTTTCTTATGATATACTAACAGAATGACCACCCTTAGCCTTTTCCATTATTGATAAAAAAGGAACAGCTGAATTGTTTGCATTTTGTGTCCCTTTCTTTTTTACACACAAATATTGGAAATATCACAGCAGGGCATAAACAAGGAAGGAAAAATTAGAGACTTCTGTAAGATATTTTTAACACAAAGATGTCATACACTACACACACGCACAGAATAAATTACAGAATATTGGAATCTATGATAGAAACTTCTAATCCTCGTTTACTAGTGAGTTCATTACTATGGAGTCTCTTTCAAAAATCAGTATGAGTGATTCTAAACATGTTGTCTTTTAAATAATTGTTCTATAGCTTTTCTGCAGAAAACTATTTTTATAGTAAAAAGCAAAACTCTACAAAATCAGTTATTCTTGTCATCATCTTTGGGGACAAACATCGCTTATATGAACTGCGAGAATTAAAACCAATGTTGCCTCTAATCAGCCCATTTACCTGCTTTAGCCAACATAGAAGCAAGGAGTTTACAGACTATTGAGCCTCTCTTCCTCATTTTGCTTTGTTTACTATAAGGGAAGTAGGGAATTACACCTGTGATGGTTTTGGCACAGGATGTTTTCAGTGCATAAACCATAATCAACAGTTCCATTACTGCAGTGTTCACATCTCTGAAAAGGTAGAAAATACAAATTGGTTATCTCTGTGTCCATAATCCTACAATATTTGATATTTTGTCAACACTATATCATGGTTTGTCAAATAGTCCATACATAAAATTAAGGCACAGATTACAAATCGCAATAGCTGTGGTCACATATGGTGTCAATCTGAAATAAATTTAGGTTTATATTTTTATTATATATTTTAATAAAAATATTAAAATTAAAAAATAAACCTTTATCCCTAGGTTATTATTTAGTGTGCTGTGTGAATTCAGCTACACTTTTTTAAAAAAATCATTTAATAACATCACAACAAACTAGTCAGCTTTTTTATCTTCTCTTGACATTTTCCCAACTATGTACTGTATAGAAAAATCTGGGATTCTGTAGAAACCTAACAGAAATTTCTGTACATAAAAATGAGTACAGTAGATAAGCAGTTTTGAAAAATAGTTTGTAAATCATTAACAAACTTTTGCAATGCATATCCAGGCAAAATTTAAGACCATGTTCTAAGACATAACATTTTGTATACAATTAATTAAATTATATACTTAATTTGTAAATAGTATATTTGAACTAAGAGGACATCCCAGAACACAGGTAGACCATTTAGTACTAATAGGCACCAATGTGCTCCTGAACATGTCCTCTTTGCTCCCTCAATACAACTGGTTTTAATTTCTTTTAAAGTTACTTGTGGTTTTTAAAAGTGACATTGACCAAGGCCAGACTAAGCTGTCTTAGCCCACAATGATGATGAATTTAATTAGCATAATTATTAACATTGCAGTAATCATTAGCAGCAAACTGTAGTGGGGTTGGGAGAAAAATATTTGCATGTGTTGATTTGTTAGGAAATTTCATACAGAACCAGTACACTCAACGGGCAGTTCATTTATCCAAGAAAATTCATTTTAACCTTCACAGCTGAAGGACAATGTACAAAACTCTCACCTGGGAATTGTCTGAATGATAAATACATCTTGTCCTCGGACTGACTCTTTTATTTCAACTCTTGTTTCTGCAGAGAAACATAGATAATTAAACAAACTTTGCAGGACTGTCTAACTTATCCTTAAAACTACTAATAGCAGCACTGAAATACAAGGGTTGGATAGGGTTAAAAAAGAATCCATTAGAAACCTATCCTAATCTAATGAAAATAAAACATATCCTACAGAAATGAATAGCGTTTAAATCTTAAAAAGAAATCTGTTATTATATATTAAATTTAAGGACACAAATTTTTACGCCACAAATATTTGTTGATGTGAATAAATTCTGTTCCCTTTGCCAAGCCATTTCTGTCTATCCTTAGCTCTAGCTATTCTCTACCTCTTTCTAGCTGTTTGGAAAGTTGTACTATAGATTCCCCTTCTGAAAACCAACAGGTGTACAGTTAACGGGTTGAACAAAATTAAGGAAAGCCAGATTCAAATCCACTCTTAGCAATGGATGAGTCTCTGTCTACCTCAAATGGCTGTTGCAGAGAAAAGGAATGGAAGCCTAGAATGCTGAGCATATCATTTTGAGCTCCTGATGATTCTAATGCAGTTAAATAATAGTAATAAATAAATCCTCATTTAAAGGACTTTTGAACAGAAGATTTATCACATTCATAATTCTTCTGACAAGACTTCCCATTATAGCAGGAAGAGAAATATATAATTTATCGAGCAGCTTCTCAAAGCAAACCTACACACATTAGTTAGACTACATATACACCATTACCTCCAGGTGCAATGATGAAAAGTTTTCATTGTTTTTAAAATTCCTACATAGATCTCTTCTCAATTTATCAACTTTTATACACAAGTCGCATCATCATATAGTTGTCATGCTTCTGCAGCTGATCACAAGACCAAGAAAACATGCAGCTGTAAAGATGGGTGCTGGGTGCACATTCCAAATCACACTTTGCCCATCAAATCCAGAGCTCTGCACAGCCCCAATGTCAAGACACCTTCCACTCAAAAATTCTGATGCAGCTAGATCAAATCTGAAATATTGATAGTAGATACAGGAAGACCTTGCTCTGTTTACCAATTGTTGAAAGTTATGTCTTTGCTGAAAAAATTATGTGACTGTTCCTCACATTTATGACCTTTTCAATGTCCCTGCGTTCAAAGGATCACCATTTGCATGCTACACAGCTAACTTCCAATATGCAGAAGCTGACAATAAAATCGCAAGTTACAATCACTTGATGTCTTGCTTAATGATGGTGGGTTATTAATTGTTTTAATGTATTATTATTATTATAATATTATTATTATACAATTGTATCACAGCGGCCAGTTGTTTCGCCGGATTTGGCATTGGTTACTAGTCGGGCCCCACCCAGGGGCCTAGGACGTCGTAACGTATTTTCGTAATATGCGTGCAGATCCAAGCAGTGCGGCTTTTTGCATTTGACTGATGGTGATTTTGTCAATTTTTAACTGTTTTAAATATAATTCCAGTGCTTTTGGTATAGCACCCAGTGTGCCAATTACCACTGGAATTACCACTGCTGGTTTGTGCCATAGTCGTTGAATTTCGATTTTTAAGTCCTGGTATCTTGCGATTTTTTCATGTTCCTTCTCGGCGACCCTGCTATCACCTGGTATTGCGATGTCTATGATTGTGACCTTATTTTTCTCAAACAGTGTGATGTCTGGTGTATTATGCGCCAGTATTTTGTCGGTTTGTATACGGAAATCCCACAAGATCTTGACCATGATTATTATTATATATTATTAATAATATTATTATTATTGTAGACTAGATTGGTCTGGTCAAGTAGTTTTTCTTTTTGTGAGTTTCTAAATGCAACAAAGAATGATCAGCTTGCATATGCTGTGGCGTTTTAAATTGTTTATCTGAATTTATTTAAGCTTGTATCTCACATATTTTTATTCTGCTAACATACCTCCATTGGTTTCTTGGTATACCACAGATTTTCCAAGTTCAGCACCAAGGCGCCTGAAAGAGAAGTATTTTCAAGATTTAGATTCTGCACAATAGCTTTAATATGAAACTGTTCATTGTGCAATCATTAGAATAGAAGAGCTCACCTATCTACAAAAGTCACACTTTAATTATACTCTATGAACATTAGAAATACAAATCTGAATGAAATTCTGAGCAAGCCTCATAATTTTAAGTGCCTTGTTCATGCCAAATTTCAAAAGAGAGTTAAGTCAGTAAAATGTAAAATTATTGATTTATAGGCTAGGATCAAAAAGTAAAGAAACGGACTAATTTCTGTGGTTACCAAAAGCTGATCCTGAGATACAGGAATCTTATTATTGCCTATTTTTTTGAGTAAGTGATTCCTGTGGCTGTTTGTGCACCAAACACTTTTAGTTAGACAAAACGTATAAATTAGCTTTCCAATGATTTTTTTTGTTTTCCTCTTCACCAAAATAAATATTTAATAGCAAAGTAAGAGGAAATAAATCTAGGATAATTCTTTATGAAAATATTAGCATAAAATGCCCTTATTAGAGGGAAATATTGCTGAGGTTGTAATATTTGAAGAACAGAATGTCATATTTAGAGAGAAAAATGGTATATGGTAGTTTTGTTCTGCTTTTTAATTGCAACATTATACAGTATACATTTTAAGTCTTCTTTCATTTTATTCAAAAAATTCATACAATTAAGGAACTAGGAACTAGGAACTAGCAATCTACTCTAACATCATTAATGTAGAAAGCATACAGAGTAGAGAAGCAGCTTGCACTGTGCAAAATACAGTAAGTTCTATTGGATATAATTTAGGTCTTCCTATTCTTTTTATTGGATGGGGCTTTCCTTCTTATGATCAGTAATATTTTGAGATGATTAATCACAAGTTAAATTTACAGCATTTGAGGTTAGAGTAACTTGAATATTGAGAAGCCATGTTTAGTAAAAGGCAAAATATAGAACTAGCAGTAAAGAGAGATGGCTTATATACAAACATTTTTTATTATTACTAATACTAAAATATTAATTTTATTCTGATGTTTTATTAAGAATATTTCAAGGGTTAACAATATTACAGCAAAATGAATATATCGTCAGTGTCAGTGATACATATAAAGAGTTTTTTGGATGAGGTAGGTCTGATATTTTTCATGAAAGGAATAATCTTTCAAGGGCATGTAATATAACTTTTGGTGAAGTTGCCTATCCAGCTGTTTAGGAAACTGACTGAAGATCAGCTAATGCTAGCAAGTTTCTTCACTAGTTGATTGCAGCAACATTGCCTCCTCTGACAATCTTACTAGTCAAACTTGGGCTGCTAATTTATGAAGTTAACCAACCCAAACCCACTCAATAGGGTAGACTTTGTATAAATATATATAGGAGAGCATCAAGTTCCTTACAATATTAAAAGGGTTACCTTTATAGAGTTCAGGTCATCTTAAATGAGACAATGAAGAGTTATCAGAACAAATGAGGTGGTACAACAAGAACTCATATATTAACCTCCCTCTCTACAAGGAATAAATTAAAGAAGTAAGCCCCACTGAATGAAACTGACAACCAGATCATAAAAAACAACTATAGGAGATAGTTCAGAACTGTAGATATAAAGAAAAATTGAACAGAAAAATTCAGAATGAGTAAAGGCTAGTAAGGTATTAGATATGAAGAAAAGGTTTTCCAGCATTATTACTTATTAAATATCTACTCAATGCTGTTTTAACAAATTTTGATAGACAATGTATGAGAGAGACAAAAACCTTGAAACAATATATGAAATCAATCCTGGTATCTACTTATTTCCAATCTCAAAAAATAATAATGTATATGCAAAATTTTAAACTTGCATATAAGAAAATAAGGCTTCAAATATATGGCACAACTGTGAATATTGAATGTAAATGTCAATATTAAAAAATAATAAGTATATCATAGGCTTTTCTAATGCAGTTTTATATACCAAAGTTGCATCAAAAAGCATGCTCTCAACAGAAGGCAGCTCAAGTAGGCTGAAACTAACAATATCAATGCTCCACCTTCTCATCTATGCGATGTTAACGGAAAGTCAACAAGATTATTCCATTAATAGCTTTCAAATTAACCATCATGTTGTCGACTAATATTTAATCAGTAAAAACTGGGGCCTACAGAATCTTTATCAGTAAGGCACTCAGCTTTGACTCTTGAGAGCAGAGCAAAATTTTGCTTCTAATCTTGTAAAACCTCAGATACACTAAAAAGAAATGCCGTCTCTTCTAGCTCCATGGCACCTTAAAATTAATATCATTATTACCCAATACAAATTTAGGTTGGCTGTCAAAATCAGCCACTGAACCATTGGGTGGGCTATGCAAAGGCCAAACAATTATCAATAGTACAACCTAAATATAGTAAACTACACAAAGAAAAAAAGCAGTTAAGCAATATATTTAAATTGCCCAGCAATAATATAAAAATACTACATTGATTAACATATAGACGTAACAGTTTTATTTTTCAGCTGTATGAATGGAGCTAAAACGTGCACATAAATATATGAATGCTTACTGTCTATTAAAGTCCAATCTAAAACATTTAAAATACCAGCTGCAATTTAATAACTGTTACAAGACTTTGCTTCTTTAAATGAAAATCAGTAAGATTCTTCAGTTTTGAGTAATACACATTCCTGAATTATACTGAAAAACTGTGGTAAACCTGTTTCTCCTTGGCAATTACTGTAAGAGAATTTACATTGTCTTATAGTAATTTCCAAGGACTAAAACTAAAAGTCATGAAAAAAGAATGAGAACACACAATGCTAAAAATGATAATACACTCACTCAGTGATCCTCTTGGCCAGTTCTGTGCAGGCTGCTGAGGAATTTGCTGAGAAGACCCGGTAGCCACTTCTGGCTGCATTCATTGCCAAAGAATCATGCAAACCCCTTCCAACTCGAGAGTGAGAAAACACAGATTTATAAGGTAACAGCAGTTTCCTTGGCATCCTCCTCTTTAGTTCTCCAAATACTAGCCTCACCAACACTACACTGAGATAGTGGTGGCGGTAAAAATAATTCTGATTAGGAAAGACGCGCCCGTTTTCCAATTATTAAGGTAATCAGAAAAAGTTACATTCAAAGCAGCGCAGAACTTAAAACATTTAGGTAAGGGAAAAGCCCTTCAGTAAGACATAAAACTATGGAGTCAAGGCTGGGCGTTTGCCTCCTGGAGTCAGGAAGTCTTAAAAACAAATCGTCACACTGATTATCAACAACGTTGAAAATATCACAGGTCAGAGAGAAAAGGATATTTTTTTAATGTTTATTGCAAGAGAGAGAGAGAGCTGAGAGGACTGTCCTCAATACGATTAAGGCAGCGAAGGCAACCAACAATGCAATTTGGTTACATACCAAACAGGGAAGACACAGGAGGAGAGCCAATTTCTCTACACAAGAGGGATAGTTCCAGAGAGGGGAGCGGAGGGGTGTCTGGCAGTCCCAAAGAAAGTTAGTTACAGGTAAGCAGGCAGGACTGGATAGTAGAGACTCTGCGGGGCAAACAAGGATATACCCCCAATCCAGGGAAGCTGGAAAACTGAGGATGGAGAAGAAGCGAAAGGCAGCCACCTTCCTGGGACTTGGTGGAGTGGGGCGGACTGAGGAGTTGAACCTATGCAGCTGATTCAGAGGACCCAGAGACGCCGTTCGGACTGAGGCGAAAGAAAAGGAAAACCTTTTCCCCCACTGGGAAAACAGAGGGAGTCAGACGGCGTGGGGTGGGGGGAATGGATAGGCAGGAGAGCGGGATTAAAAGACGGACAGGAGCCGAGACAGATTTCGGAGGGAAGCCGTAGTGAGAAGGCGCGGAGACAGACACACACGCGCACGGAAAGAGCAATAGGATGAGGCAGGACTGGGGGTTCGCGCAGAAGTTTCCGGAGAAGCAGCGGCAGCTCCCGGGCAAAAGTCACTTCGGCGGCCGTGTGAATTTCCAGCCTCCCTCCCTCCCAGCGACTCTCTTGGCCCCGGGCTCGCTCTCAGCCTCAAACTCGGCGAGGCTCCAATCCGCCAGCATGCTCAGAAGAACACCGAGACGCCGAGCTAGAGCGCCCCCTCCCGCTCTCAGCGGCCATTTTGTCTCAGCGCTTCGCTGCTCTCGTCTGTAAGACGCAGACATATTGAGTGAGGGCAGAGAGGGGAAGCGGTCCGTCGCTAACCTGCCCACCGCTTTTCCCCTTTAGCGCACGGGCAGACTTCGGTCGACTCACCTCTTAAAAATTAAAACGCCGACCCACTCAGTTTACGGTTTCATGGACCTTTTTTTAAACCGTGGATTCTTTTCCATCAATAAAGATGGTTATCTGTCTTGGCGGGCCAAGTAACCGTTAACACGGTAAATCTCCTTGGAGAGGAACTTAATGGTCGTTGCAACGGAAGTGGGCGGAGTTAGAATTTCGTGCTTGAGGTGCGTAGGGAAAAGCGCTTGGTTGTTGCAACTTGAACTTAAGAGGAGACGAGCCTCGGACAAAAGGTTCTGGAAGGTGATTTGTTGCAAACCTGAGTCGTGCATGTACGTATGATAGATATGTGTGTATGATAGATATGTTTACTTTATTCATTGCACCTCCTATAACGAAATTAAATCTTCAGTGTACATTATAACTATAAAAATCACACGCATGTATGTATGATAGATATGTTTACTTTATTGTCATTTCACTTACAACGAAATTAAATGCCATCTTCAGTATACATTATAACTATAAAAATCACACACGTGTATGTTATATGTATGTATGTATATCCTGGCATATATAATCTACAAGGTGGCACTGACAAGGGAAAGTCAGATTTGTTTAATAATTATTCTAGCGCCTGCTGGGTTTTGTTAGATGAACTGGACTGTGCATGTGTTGACATTGCTTGTGGTTGCGCGGAGACTAAACTGCCTGGCTCTCCTCCCCCTCCTCCCCCCAAAAAGACCATGTGAGCTGTCACTTAACAAGTTCGTTCTGGATCAATTTAACCATGACCGTATTTGGAAAGAACCTACTAACTATTTTGAAGATTTGATCTTGGTAGCAGCTCTCCAGAAGTGCAATGACAAGGGCTGCCAGATCTGGGCTGCAAAAATGCAGGCGATAGTAGGTTTTCTGAATAATTTTGCTACCAACTTGTGGTTGTCCACATCTTTCAGTCTTTCAGATCTGATGACCCTGTGCAATGTTCCCTCAGGTTTTCAGTCTGTTCTAATAGTTGTCATGAGTTGATAGGTGTTAATGAATAGCAGAAGAAATAGGAAATTTTATTTCAGATGTGATTATTCTTAAATCCTTCATTAGGATACAGTATTCTTTTTATTATTTTATACTGCTTTCCAAATAATTGACGGAATTCATACTCTGAATTATTCTAGATATCGCAGGTAACTGCTCTATTTTTAGCCATTTTAAATCAAAATATGATAAAATACATTTAGCTGAATTAAAATGCAACAATGATGCTACAAATAAAGCATAACCTTTGCATAACACAACAGAATTGTTCTCATTTGATAATTCTAAACAGTTTGTGATAATTAAAACTGTAAAGCATCAATAACTGTAAACATTAATCTGGTTTTAAGAGTTTTAATATGATGTATGGTATGACAGCATATGCTTAAAAATTGATAATACATAAGATCCAGTCATAAATAAATGCAGGGTTTAGAATGTAAAGCTACTGGAAGCTGATTGAAAAGTAAAATGTATTTTATTTTACATCATCCACTAATTAGGTGTTGTGCACAAATGAGAACAGTTTTTGATTTTGTAACAAGGAGAAGGAGAGAAGCCTTTCAAATATATTTATTATATTATCCTCAAATAAAATACATTTAAAAAGCAAATGCTAGCATTTCAAACTTCAATATATTCTTCTTTGTGAAAAATGAAGTTATTGCGTCCTTTCATAGCCAACTTGCTAATGTCATATGGTATGTCCTGAAATCTTCCAGCATTTGTTTTGTTGTGAAATAAACCTGTGTTTTAATTTTATCCTCCCAGATGTGTTAAAATTAGAGATAAGGAATGGGCTGCTGGGGTGGCAGCAGCCCATTCATAATATCCACAACAATAAACAGCAATACTTTTCATTTAATTATCTGATCATCAAATTAATTTGGTAGTATTTAGCAGCAGTGGGAAGGGTAATCTCTTAATAAATTACTGGAGCTGTAATCTGTATTCTCATCATAATCAATTGCATCTATCAAGAATTGCAGGCAGGAAAGTGCTCTTATATGAGCCTTTTTCTGCTTGCAGTTCTTGATAGATGCAATTGATATAACATAATGTTTACACTTATTTTCTGGTCTGGTTAATACATAATGCTAAGCAATTATAGAGTTAGCTTACTTTTCCTATGCAAATCAGACCATTGAACAAACCATGATAAAAATCCTGGCTCAGGAGATTTCTGGTGAGGAAATGGTAAACTCATATCCCACAAATAGCAGGAAACACTGTGGTTCAAAATGGCAGCTGGATGCTGGATCTGGACCATTGAAATCTCTCTGGAGAAAGGAGAGAGCTTGAAATTGCCCATATATACACTGGACAGCTGGGGTAAGGATGGTAAGTACACTGCAGAAACTGAGGTTTGTAATTGTTTTCAAACAGTTTCTAACAGATATTAGCAGGTTTTCACCAAACTCATAGCCCCCAAGGCAGCCTTTCAAGGTTCAACCAAACCTTACTTAATCGTTTTGGAGTTTACTTTCTTAGGTTGCTTTTGAAAGGTTAAGGGCCTTCAGAACTGCAAATGTGATCATATTAAGTTTTTCTTTCAATTTTAAGGAAGAAGTTTTAATTATAATTCAGGCTTTTCCAAAAAGTTTTTAAATATGCAGCAAAAGTGCTGATTTAAGAATTTTTTAAATGGATTAAGAATCCAGATTGACTTGACTTAGAACTTTGAAATTACAGTAACTATAAGAATCCTTCCTGTGGAAAGTTATCTATGTTTGCACTTGGAATTGATAAGGTGACTTTGAAAATTGGTCACTAGAGGGCACCAGAAGGGAAAAAAATATCAATACGTTCTTTAAGATAAATCTATGATTATTGGGCTCCAAAAATAAGTTATCTGCTATTATTGAAAAAATGTATGATGTCACTGAAGAATAACAAGTTCCATCAGATAAAACAAATTTATTTGAATGTGGATTTGAAAATGACAGCATATAAGAGATGGAAAAAGATGAAATAGTGAATATACAAAAAATTACATTTGCAAATGAGACTTGTTGATTATTTATCAGTTTAAAAGACACACAAATACTAAACCAGAAGAATGATGGAAATATTCTCCTTATGGATTTATTAAAGGGATTTGTTGAAATTGTCATTGATTTCTTGAGAACAGAAAGAATATGAGCACTGTGATGTGGATAATCTTTTAATACTTTAATCAAAAAGAGCTTTTAAAGAATATGAAAAGAAAGCCGATGTTGGGAAATTGTTTGAGGGGGACTAAAGATTTTCCGGAAAAGGAGGGAAAATATGAAATTGTTTTATTTGATCAAGGCTAAAATAAATAGATTGCTAGAAAAGGAGATATAAAAGTAAAAGGAAGCATTCAAACTATATTTATTAGATGCTGTAGTTATTTATGATAATCCTTAATAGACTTTTACTGGCTAAAATGGTGTGATGAGATTAATTTATAAAGAAGAGTATTAGTTATGGGACAAAGATAGGGGTTAGTTTTATTTTAAGAGATGGTGATATGCTGTTAATGTTGATTACACTTGCTGAGGATATAGAAAGTGTTTTTGTTCTCTTTTTCTTTATTTTTTCTTTCTCTGCATTCTGTGTATGTGTGCGCGCACACCAGTGTACAGCATTAGTTTAATACGTATAATATAATTTTAATAAAAATACAAATCACTATAATGTGTGAATCCATTCAGTATTTGCTGAAGGGTGGGCAGCAATATGTACATTTTGCAGTGTATGCTTACTCTAAAGTGTACTGCTCCAACTAATTTAATTTCTAGCTGAAATTATTTTATCTGCAGGCTTTCTACTGAAAAAACCAAGTTCCCAGATTTATGGTTGCTGTCTAAGTCTAGCAATAAATTTGAAGATCTACATAATCTGTTCTTTCAAAGGTTTTCTCTGCCAAATGGTTGTTGACTAAATAATTAACACAGCCGGACCATTGTTCTGAATGGAATGAAACAACTCACTGAGGGACAACTTGCTGTGGGACAATTCAACAATTCAATTTCATTATTTAATTAAAAATATTTTAATTTTTGTCTTTCACATTTCATTTTGTCCCTCCTTTTGCATCCTTTCTATTCTACCATATCATCGTAACTCTTGTCCTGCTGTGCATTGTCCTGGGGCGAGTTGGCTATGCAAGTTGCCCTGTTCCAAATTCTCAATATGACTTAAACTCATCTCATACAACACACTGGGACATTTAAATAGTAGCTAGTTCAGCTACTCGGTATGCTGGGTTAACTTTTATTGTTAAGGATATCCCAGGGATGGCTGGTGCTGATGCTAATCTTGTTGCTAATCAAATAAAAAACATATCTCACAGGTGGTCAAAGACTGTAAGTTTTTATATAATGGATACAATTAAAAGAAAAATAGTGGGAAAACAAAGAATACACAAAAATACTTGGTTTACTACATTATGTGATAGAATTCCATGGGATCTGTAGTGTTGCACATTATACAAAGAGCCTCTGAACAGCAAAGCCAATGGACGGCATCTTCCCTCCCCCCCAAAAAAAGATTTCTAAGAATGAATCTGCTAGTAGGAAAAATGTGTTCTCATCATCTGACCTGTAGGACAGTTAGATAATCAAGGCTTCATCCAATCAATGTGCCATGTCAGATAAAATGATTAGCCAAGTCAAATGTGTAACTGACTCAATTTCCCCAGCTGGGAAAGAACAAAGGCAAACTTGAATTGGAAATGTACATAATTTCTAAATAGAGTTTTATTTATTAACTGAATTTAAACCGAGAGACAGTTGCTTTAAACTAATGATTGGGCACTGCTGGAATGGATTTTCATCTTTCTTAGTGTCTTTTAGCCTCCCTGAAATTACTTTAGAGAATTACGAGAACTAGAGTATAAGTGGAAAAATTCAGACATATCAGGGAAGTGGGAAAATGTTAATATTCTCTTTGGATGAACTGGAGCAGTGAAAACCTCAGAGGTAAGCTTTCAAACAGGATACCTGCATAGATGTTATAGTAGGCAGTGCAGCTTTCCAAGTTTGATTTTCCATGTTGGTACCACTACTGTAAGAAGTCTTCAATATCTGGCCAACATCCATAATGCTTCCTTGAGGAAGGTTTTTACAGCTCTTAACTTTCCAACCATACCTTGAAGGCAGATTTTGTAAACTTCCAGTGAAACGTGTATGTGTACATGTGTATGCACTGCGTTAATGTAGAACACAATAAACATTGATTGAAGTATACAAGAGATATTGGCATGATCTCGGATGTCACGCTGTGCTGAGACCCAGTTATTGTTATGTAATAAAACCCTTAATCAGTTGGCTTGCTTTTTGATTAACTGCTGGAACTAATGTTCATTTATTATTCCATGAATTAAAATTATTCCACGGGTATATATGTGATGCAGTACATAATTGCCTTTCATTTGCATTTTGCATAATTTGAGAAACATAGTTTGCAATGAAGCAGCTTCAGCAAGATTTGATGTTCTTCCTGGCAGTTATTTAAATTTTGTAAAAAAAAAAGTACATAAGCTAATCAAAATAAATGTATATTACATGTTTTTAAACTCAATAAATACAAAGCCAAAAATAAGGAAATACAACAGAAACATTAAACTTTCAGGGAATATTTATTTTAGGTAATTCTCTTTCGGAAAAATCAAAGAATATGAGAAAATCTTGCATAGGGAACAAAAAAAACCCTATTTGAATTAGTAGGAGTACATTCTCACAGAGAAATTTTATATTGTCACTGAATAAATATAAGCATCTTGTGCTTCATTTAACTTACAGAGGAAAGTAATGCTCTAAGTAACAACTTGACATTTTTACAAGAATATGTCAATGAGTACCCTGTTTCCCTGAAAATAATAACTCCCCAGATAACAAGCCCAATTGGGCTTTTGAACGCATGCGCTAAAATAAGCCCTCCTCGAAAACATTGTGACACAACAGCAGCCATGAGGTGACTGTGCTCGCTGCCTCCTGCACCTCAAAAATAATGAGACCTCCCTGAAAATAAGGCCAAGTGCTTATTTCAGGGGTCAAGAAAATAAGATCCTGTCTTATTTTTGGGGAAACACGGTACTTCTGACCTGAGGAAAGCACAGAACAAAATATTAGAATAGGACATCTATGATACTCTATGGATTAATGGCAATAGCTGAGAATTCGAATGTTTTCTTTGCTCTTAAACAATTTTCCTATGATCATGGAGACAGCAGCCAGACTGGGTTGCTCTGTCCAGTAACCAATTGAACTGAGTCTACACTTGTTATGTCATCGTGCCCTGGTGACTCCTCCCAGTTTAGACTCAGTCCAACCTGGACAAGCTGTGAGAATTGGTCTCTTAGTATTAGTCTAAATCAGTGTTTCTCAACCTTGGCGACTTGAATGCTGGCTGGGGGATTCTGGGAGTTAAAGTCCACAGGACTTAAAGTCACCAAGGTTGAGAAACACTGGTCTAAATTGTTATATTTTACTCCATTGGCATTTTTCAAAATTATTTTTTTGATTGGAAATTATTTTTTCTCCTACTCTGGTTTGAGCGGGAGATTCAAATTGACCTTCGGGCTTCATCTCAGACTGACTGACAGTCTTGGGACGATGAGTACACTCCGGGACACAAACCAGCCATAGTCAGTATGGCGCTGACTCCTCAGCTCACGAGTTGCGACTCTGGGGCTGTTTAAAAACGTGAACGTTTCCCATGGCTTTCATACGCCACTACACATTAGACAAGTATGCGTTGGCTGATGCAGCCTTTGGCTGCAGAGTACTACAACAAGTACCTGTGCCTTAACAGACTTTGATCTCTTGTCCCCACCTTAGTGGAAAGCCCCTCCTTTGGTATGTCCCAGTCTGGCTACTATCTCCACGATTATAGGAGAATGAGCATTGGTCCTTAACTGATACGCTAATTCTCTCTGACGTGGAGACAGCAGCCAGCCCCTCCCTAAGTGTAGGTCAATCTGAACAGAACTTTTTTCTGCAGAGGAGAGAGTGTGTATTTTGCAATTATCCTTTTGCTTTCACAATTCTCACTTGAGTCTACAGTCTGCTTCGTCTAAACTGGGAGGAGTCACCAGGGCACGATTACATCACAAGTGTAGACTCAGTCCAATTGGTTACTGGACAGAGCAACCGAGTCTGGCTGTTGTCTCCACGTCACAGAGAATGAGCGTATTAAGTAAGGACCAACGCCCATTCTAATTTTGGAACAAAGAGCCCAAGACAGAACCTTCTTAGGTAAACTAGGATTATTGCTAAGAATAATTACCAGTGATTACAAGTGGATGTTGGAACAGAGTTGTCAACCTGACCTAAAAAAATGTTTGCGAATCAAAATACATTAAAAAAAATACTGTAATTCATAATAGACACCACAACAATAAATATTGAAATAAATATTTCTAGCCTAGAAACCAGGATTCTAGACTTCCCTTAGATATGAAAGGCTAGGCACTCTCAATGGGGAAACAGCAGGAGTATTACGTATATTACCACTTTGAGTTGATTTATATGTTGTATTTGTGCTGATAAATAAATAAACAAATAGAACACAAATGTTACAAAAGCAACAGTAAAAATATTGGGTTTCTGTCTGGATGGTCTCTTGTGACGAGCCGATAGACAGAGAATGGAAGCAGTAAGCTTCCTCCCATATTTGGGCATACCGGGGGTTGTGACACTAATTACATACATACATACATACATATATATATGCACTGTATAAAAGTGGGATAAAAATGTAATAACTAGCAATAATTATAATTTTAAAAATAAAGGAGATACTTTTACACAAAATTTAAAGGTTTAACATGCTAACATATGTAGATTACTATTACCTGATTCAGCCCAGACAACCTGTCTGATTATCAATTTAAAAATTTAGGCTAGCTATTATTCCAACAGTGTGGCAGCAAGTAATAAGATAATACAATAAAGCAAAAAAAAAAAAGTAATATTTTAAATCATACCTTTTAAAATACACAAATATTCCTCTACCAGAGACTTACGTTGTTTGTAAGTCTTCAGTAGAGGAAGGAAAGGTACCTGGTACGGAAAGGCAAGTACTATTGGCAGGAGCCAGGCCTCTAGGGAAAGCTGTTGTACAGCTGGGCTCATCCCCCACTCTTCCAATAATGTGGTTCTCCCATCCCTAGGAGAGTGCAGGGAGCCCCTCTCTGCTGCTACAGAGGTTAATATCCTCATCCAATATCCTCATACTCATCCGAGGGGTAATGTTACTGGCACCTGTTGCAATTCTAGGGCTAGTGTTACTTGGTCTGTTAAAACTGTTCCAGATAACAGGCTTGCCGCTGTATTTTTTGCTACCTGCAGTTTCCATCTTCAAAAGGCAGACCTTCATAGAGTGCACTGCAATAACCAAAGATCATGTACTAAAGTGATTAGGCCATCCTTGGGAGTTGCAACTGCGAAGTGAGATATAAGTGGCTGAATGCATCCAATGATACCCGGGCCTTGATTGATACAGATGAATCCATGACCCGAACTATGTATCTGCTTCTGCAAGAGGAATATAGCTCCAGGTACATTCCCAGACTTGCAAGCTGCCAATTCACAGTATCTATTTTGCTGATAGTTAATTTAAGTTTGTTACTGAATAAACTGAACATTGGCGCTCTCTTGCCTGAGTCTAATGAAATGGAAAATCAGTTCCAGTGATTTAGATTGTATAATTAGAGAAGCTAGTTTGGATTTTCAATGCAGAATTCCAGAACTTCTGTAATTGCATTGCCATTGGTCTTAATTAAAAAAGCCATCACTATTTATCTTTTTCCCATAATCAGGTGAAGGGTGGCCTTCACATATTCCTTCAAGCATGTACATCGCCTGATCTAAAATATTTACATAATTCACTCATAGTGCATCCATTCAACTGTGACATGACCATCTTGTGACTCTAAACTTGTTGATACATTTATAGAAAAAAATCAGCAAACAAATGGAATATGTTTGCTGGGATTTGCCAACTGTGTTTGTTCTTATGCGGCCAGTTGCCCTCTAGTTTGTGGCTTTACAACAAGCAGTGATAACCCTCGTATCTAGCTTGAATTTTTTGCTCTCAGTTTGTAAGCTCACAGCAGTTGCTTTCATTTCCAGATCCTTTGCCATTGTTGCTTGTTTTGAACAGAGAAGTTTCTGTGCCTATGTGCTACAATAGTGCCACATGATCATTAAAATATCTAGAAATTCCTGTTCTTTTCCTGTAGAACAGAACTTTCTTTTCCGGCCACTATGGAAGGTTTGCTTCTGCAAAATGCTGATATTAATGATAGTTGTCATGGCTTCAATTGAAGAAGGAGCATATCACTGAGGAGAAGAACCATATTTATTGCAAGGTTCTTTGAGTGCCTACTTTAGCAATAGTACTTAGACTCATATACCGCTTCACAATGTTTTACAGTCCTGTCTAAGAGGTTTACAGAGTCACCATAATGCCCCCAACAATCTGAGTCCTCGGAAGGATGGAAGGCTGAGTCAACATTGAGTTGGTCAGAATTGAACTCCTGGTAGTCAACAGTGAGTTAGCCTGCTATACTGCATTCTGACCACTATGCCACAATGGCTTTCTTGTTTATTTGCAACAATCCCACTTAAACTACTAGATAACAGAACTCTATTCAGGTTTTGTGTGACATATTGAAGGAAACTGAATGTCCTCAAAACCAACTGGTGAAAGTTCCTGAATCAACTTAAGTCAATTTGCATTCTGATATCTAGAGCTTTTTTTTTAAAGGACATTCCTCTTCATCCTTTTTTTCATAATCTTTGAGGGGAGGGGAGTCCTCCATGCATGTATATTGCCTGACCTAAGAGATTCATGGGTATTTCATTCAGGATGCATCCATTCACCTGTGACATGACCATCTCAGGACTCTGAACATGTTTGATCTATTTGGGGGGGAAAGAGCAGCAAAAGCCACTAGAACAAGATTACTCAGATTTGCTGAGTTCTTGTGCATTTGGGCTTCTTGTGTTGTTTGTAACTTTGTTCCCTGCATTCACAGAGCATCTGAAATGGGAGATTTCAAAGAAGTACCAAAGAAAATAAGAAAGTTAATCAGTTCATAGAGCTTCACAAAAATTAAAATGACACAATATTTCCATTTTCAGTGTGCATCTTCCTTTTTACAATATGCTGATATTGATAACATGCCGATTTGCACTGGTAATATGTCGGTATTCATATTGATTAAACCACTGTGAATCCTGATGGAACTACAAAGTTGCATCACGCACATTAAGATTGAGTAATTATTCCACTTAAACCCTTCAATTATTTGTCTTCCAAATCCCAAACTAAATGCATAGACTAATCATTTCATTTCTTTGGTATAATTGCAAAAGTGTTGCCTTTCTTTTTCTCTCTTCAATAACATTCTGATTCACAAACTGACCTTCTGCCCCATTTTTTTAACCTTACCTCCAGCTAGAATATGCTCTTGTCACAGTGATATGTGACATTCTTCTTTAAATCTTTCCCTGGACTTCTATTTTGGGATGCAGAAGAAATCCTTTATTCCTGCTTGTTTGTTTGGAGTATTTCTATATAACATTAAAATACAATGACAGAAGTGTTGATCTTCAAAGCTCTCTATTGCATAATCCCATTCCATTTTTTTTACTAGCATTATACAGCTGACTAAAAGCTCCAACAAGCAACTCTGCTGTTAATCACTTTGTCAGTTAAGCATTGGAACTCTTCACAAAATACTTGGAGATCTGTATAACTCTGTTTTGTCTTCAAATACCTTCTCAAAACTTAACTTTTAATACAATTTTTAATATTTTGTTGTAGTTCCCCCATCAACAACAAGACCTAGGTCTACTTAAGAATAAATCTATCTAAGTAAAAGTCAATTAATAAAGTTTCTAAACCTTCCCCCCCTCTTTTTCCCCCCCAACTCACTGTTTAGAATTTATATCCAGGTTACTTTTGTCAATACCATAGCATGTATATATTGTTAAATAATGTCCATTGACATTTCCTTGTTGTTATTATAATTGGCTAAAAATCATTTACTATTTATGTCCCATCTCCTCTCATCAGACCACCACCCCCAAAAAAACCTTATACCTTTATAACAAGATTAAAAATTTGTTAATAAAATTTATAGGTCTTTTTCCCAAGTCACAATTTGCAATTTATATCCAAATTTCTTTTACTAGTTTGCCAGTACATACAT